TGTTGTACAGTTACAGAGGCCAACCCTAAGGAAAGGCTTTATTAGGATCAAATCCGCCTGGGATGAAAACTGTGCCTCTGAGCATCGTTTAACATCAAAGACACTGTAACCCTAACCCCCTAACTCTGTGTGACAGCAATGCAGTTCACCAGCTAAAGAACAGTGACACTTTAAGGTTGACCTTCATGTATGTAGCTGTAAAAGTTCACTGTGTCTCACTGTTAACCCATTACATACATTTTAAGTTCAAGTGAAGATCAGACAGTTTTCTTTAACCAAAACATTGGTTAAAGAAATCTCTCAGCAGTAATAGTGATACAGTAGGGATTCAACTAATTATTTATTTAATAGCTTGTTTTGTCCACCAAACTGTCCACTACCCAAACATTATTTTGTTTACTTTCAGAATTCTGATATAAAGAAATGTGGCAAACTTCACAACTGCTAACCTGGAGATTGGGTCCCTTTTGCTTGTAAAATCCCTATACATTTTTTAAATAAATTATCAAAAAAGTTGTCAAAACCTTTTCGAGTTATTGACCAAACATTATTTGGCTTTAGGCTGCAGCCACACGGAGACGAAACGGGTCGTATCCGCTACAGTGCTCTATCTTATAGACGGTTCGGCCACACGAGGCCGACAGGGAAACGCAGATAACGATAACGGGTCCCAAGGTGGGTAGCTCTGCGGACGCAACGCTCTGGGAGGCCAAACGGCTCCGTGCCCATCCCTATACGATCATTTCCTGATAACGATGACGCAATAGCCCCGCCTCTCCCCACCTCTGCTGCTCACTGCTGTAGCATGGTCAGTAGCTACTGTCAGTAGTCTTCTTCGCTGCTTTTGGTGTATTTTGTGGCAGAAGTACAGCGCCACTTACAGGCCCGGCATATGTACTACAGCGTCTCCAGCGGGTCGAGCGGTCTCGTGTGGACGGAAGACTTTTTTGATATCGAATTCGGTTCGTTTTCGTTATCATCTCCGTGTGGCTCCAGCCTTAGTTTCCAGCGCTGTAATCCTGACTCAGTCTAGTCACTCATCTTCATCAAAGTCAATTGAGCAAACACTGATTTTGTTGTGATGATCAAATTAATTGATTGCCTCTGCAGCCTTTTTCAATTTGGGTCAAGGGAAAAAAAATCCTCTTCTTTAATATGTTGGGAACGCAAACTAAACATCCTGGGAACAAAAGAGGAGGTGTGTGTGTGTGTGTGTGTGTGTGTGTGTGTGTGTGTGTGTGTGTGTGTGTGTGTGTGTGTGTGTGTGTGTGTGTGTGTGTGTGTGTGTGGTGTGTGTGTGTGTGTGTGTGTGTGTGTGTGTGTGTGTGTGTGTGTGTGTGTGTGTGTGTGTGGTGTGTGTGTGTGTGTGTGTGTGTGTGTGTGTGTGTGTGTGTGTGTGTGTGTGTGTGTGTGTGTGTGTGTGTGTGTGTGTGTGTGTGTGTGTGTGCGTGCGTGCGTGCGTGCGTGCGTGCGTGCGTGCGTGCGTGCGTGCGTGCGTGCGTGCGTGCGTGCGTGCGTGCGTGCGTGCGTGCGTGCGTGCGTGCGTGTGAAAACTAAAACACAGTTAAAGAGAGAAAAGGGAGGCGTACGTCAGAGAAACGGAGAACAATGCTGGAAGCAGACGGAACAAGGTCAACTTGTTATGTTGCCGTCAGTCTGATTGTCTCACAAGTGTCTTAAAAAAGCTGTGGAGTTCGCTATTATGGGATAAAAGTGAAAAATAGTTTTTTATTAATTATTAAGTAAGAAAGAACAGAATCACGCAATGTTACTTTTTCATTTTATTAATGCCTTATTAATGCAGGGGGCCTAAGGATTTTTGAATACAATAATACATTAATTTATTTTATCATTTTGTTTACTAAACAAAAAATTGCGATCTGTGATGCTATAGAAATATTTGTAAGACAATGTAAAGTTAAAACAGTTTGTCCCTTGCCTTTAGTACTTGTAGTAGTTGTTGCTGAAGAAGTAATATAAATAGTAAGTAGTTGTAAAAGTCTGATGTTCGCACCTTTACAGTCTCATGACTCTTCACATTGGTGAACAACAGTGCGGTTGTTACAAAAACAAATAATAATGTATGTTTCATTTACATATGGATTGCACTGATTTCAGTCCTACTACCATAAAAATGAAAATTACTAACTAAATGTCATGAGGAATGATTTAAGGATTTAGGATGGATCAGAATATAAAATCTGAGCAATCTTGTTTATGGGATGTTGCAGTTCCATGTATTTCTCAGTAGAGGGAGCTGTCACCTTATCAGAAACCTCTTCTGCTTCTTTGAGTAGGAATGAATGAATGAAAGCAGGCAACCCTGTGAACATATTCTGCCACCAAAAACATCAACAAATCACAATAAGTCAAATACATTTATTTTTCTCACCGCCCTTATTGGCATTCATTCATCATATTTTGCGTTTATTTATCCCTAGTGCATTAATATATTGGAATAATATTTCATTCCAGATCTGTATAATCCAGTATCACCACCTCTGATACAATGAGGTGAATAAAGCTACAGTACACATTTAAAAGCTTTTTTTTGTAGGTTAGTACTTAATTTAAAGCCAGTATTATATCCCCAATAATTATTGTTCATATGGTTATCCAATGAACAATCATATTTTTTGTACTGGTGAAACTGTTATCACCAAGGACATGATAGATCAACAATCTGTAATCTGACCTCAAATCTGAAAGACATTTTAATTTCACATCTGACAACAATTAGTGCTTGAAGGACAAAACTGTTTTAGTGTCCTTTAGCAACATGCTTCGACATCCTGGCTGCTCACTCAGAAATGCGGCTGAGTAAAAGATAGAAAAATATAATTTGGAGAATCGAGAGAAAATACTGGTCTTGTATCTCTACTTGTGGTCATTTAAAATCACTCAACCAATCAAAAACGAAAAAAAAAAAAAAAGTCCTTCACATATGTAGGTATGAGGAGGGGAGAAATCACCCATGCCTTCGAAGGGGAGGAGGGGGGGTATCTACGCAAGCTCCGTCACAAGTCTCCCAGTTCCCTTCTTTCCTGGGAGGCAGATCTATTTATAGCTTCTGACGTCAGCGGTCTCCTCTGATGGAGCCTCGTCACGGCCGACTACACTGAGCCGGGGGGGGGGGGGGGGGAGGGAAACAGGTGAGGTGTAGTGGAGTGTTATCACTGAGATAAGTCCTGCTGCAGCACCCCCATCCTCTCCTGTCACACCAATCAGGTGTGAGATGCTGAGCCCCATCACTGTGCTGGATACAGACCCCCCCCCTCTCCCCCCCGCCCGGCGTCTGCCTCTCTTTGCATCTGTGAATCTGTATTTCATTCAGCATCAATTGCATAATAGCCATCTCTCATTTAGCCGGCACTGGTTGCTATTGCTTGAGCACTGGAGGAGGGCTGAGCTAAAAATAGAAACAGAAGCAACCTTCCAGGGCTCTGCTTTCTATTGTTACGACCAAGGAAGGAGGGGGGGGGGGGGGTTGGGGGGCGAGTTGTGACAGATAACAATAGATCTAACTGATACAAATACCTTAGAAATGACCACTCATGTATCTCCATAATGTTGCCTTAAAATGTTATTTTTTATGCGACAATCTAAAAATGAAGATGTTTATTGTGGTAGAATACAGAGCACAAGTGAATAGTTTCAGCACAAAAAGTGTTAGTTTTAGTGTTCAAGAAGAGTGCAGTAGTCGAGCAAGGCACAGATGATGATGAAGCTACAAAAATGAACTATATTGCATGTTGGAGGCTTTTACTTTCCTCTACTGTCTCACTCAACGTCAAGTTATTCTCTGTCACTCTTAGAACTTATTTCTTTATTTTAGCTCTTGCTTCTTTGGTGGTTGCACTTCATATTTGGTTGAAATAATTGTTTGGGTAAAGGGGGATTTTTGTTTTGACTGCGTGTTTGCTACACCCACCCTTCATCTTTCGACCCTGAGGATTGGAGTGATTCCAAAGGGATTATTTCAGGGCAGAGTTGGGCGGTGATACGGTTTGGTTACAAGAGTTGGACTGAAACCAGGTTTTTTTTTTTAAATACAAGTTCATTTTAATCATACCAAGGAAAACATTTTAATAAAACTATGACCGTAAACGCTAAGCTCATAAACTTCTTTGTTCAGTAATAGTGGTGCCTTTCAATGGGATGGCTGCGATGGGGTGATAAAGGGAATGGCGGGGGGGGGTGTATAGGTAAGTAGCTCTGCTGACGTACCAGGCATGACGTACCAGGCATGACGTACCAGGCATGACGTCAGTGTTGACGTCATACGGAGATAGCAGAGGGAAAGGAAGATGTGTGTGAGTGTGTGTGATTGCGAAAAAGCGAGTAATCACAAGGTTGGCTGTTTAAAAAAGACTTACAGCTTTTATCCATTTTATAAGTAAACATAGCATTTTATTCAAGCTATGATATTGAATTTTAATTTGATCGCATCAATAGTTGTCGCATGGTGTTCTTGTTCTGGGAGCCTTATCCTTGTATAAGTCTTGTGTCTTCTTGACATGATTTTTAGGATACTTTATTGGAAGAAAAATGTATATGAAAATAGAATGATCTGTGGATACTTCTGCATGCTACACCTAATCATATGTAGCTTACCTTATCCTTATCTTAGGTTTATTTCCTGTCTCCATTTTTTGTCAGTGGGTAAAGGAGCTGTTTTAAATAAGTATACAATTAGTTGGGAGTCACTGCGTTTGAAGGGAGTGCTGAGAGGTGACCCCAGTTAATGTTGAATCTATTGTTTCTATTCAAGTTATCAAATAAAGCGCATTTTTACACATGTGGTTTTTACTTTGCTTATCTTGTGTTATTCACTCTTTATAATATTGGTGGCTGGTTTTCTTATGGCCCATTGTATTCCTCTTAATGTGCAGGTATGCTAATGTAGTTTATTAGCAAAAGCGGCAATAGTAGTAGTCTGGCTGATTAGCAGGTGCTGAAACAGTCATATTTATGTATTTTCTTTTCTCTCTTTCCTGTAGTTTTGATGTGGACAATGGCCTGTCGGTGGGTCGCAGTCCACTGGACTCTCAGACTAGCCCGAGTTCTGGTCTGGTTCTTCAGGGCAACTTCCCTCACAGTCAGCGCCGCGAGTCCTTCCTCTACCGCTCCGACTCAGACTTCGACCTTTCGCCCAAAAACATGTCCCGCAACTCGTCCACTGCCAGCGATCTGTGAGTATTTTAAATGTTACCCTCATGTTGCACCTTGCAGTTTTGGGTTGCTGATTTTGAAGTTTACTTCACTGTGCTTGAATATATGTTCTTTCATAAAATATCTACAAACTTTCTGATAACAGCAGATCATGGAAGGCTTGAAAGAGTCTGTTAATTAAACAATGGCATATGGATGTTTACAAATGTGTGCTATTTATTTATTTTTTCAATCTGGGTGCTGCATTCATCTCTGTCTTTTCCAAGTCACTCATTTTAGCAGTATTCACCCAAAATAAAAAATATATAAATTATTTAATTGCTATTGTCACAGTTTTTGTTGACAAAATTAGATACATGTACAATTCAGAAGATATTTTGAAAATTGTTACGGCCCGTCCACACAGCGGCTTTGGAAGCTTCTTCCAACGCTTCTGCCCATTCACTTTTAATGGGGTGACGTCACTTTTCGCCGAACTGCATTGTGGGAAGCAGAGCGGAGCTTTCCTGGCGTTTCAGGCTGCAAAAGTTGAGCAATGTTCAACTTTTGAAGCTTCTGAAGCTTTCGGTGGAAGCGTCAGCCAATCAAATCATATGCCAGTACAAGCTCTAGCCAATCAAACCGCTGCTTGTGTGTCAGGGGCGGGAGATTCATGTGATTGGTTGTTGGTCGAGCTTCAGACACGCCCGCCGGCAAGCTTTTTCCAAAGCCGCTGTGTGGACGGGCCGTTACTGAAAACTGAAGCTCTAATTTGAGACTCTTTAATCTGCAGTATTTGATTTGATTCACTTCACAAGATATTGTGTAAAGAATCAGATCACATTGATTGTATCACTGCTGTTGCATTTACTAGGGAAACACTTGAATGTCATTTCAATATTTGTTAATATCCTATTAAGCTCAGTTTCTTTGCCATCTGGCCTTATTTGCCATGCAGAGCTGATGATAGTCAGCAGTCAAGTTTAGTTGGTGCGTACAACTAAGTCTAAAATGTAATCTCCGCTCAGAAACACTTTATCCAGTCCCTGTCTGTTTATACAGCTAGAGATGTATCCGTGCAGAGTGTAAATATGGCTTCTACCACCAATAGCTGTCACTCCTTTGTTTTGAAGGGAGGAGGGATTGAAGCATTGGGAAGTCAATTGGCTACCTCGGTGAGACAAAGTCTGAAGACTGCTGTGATTCCTCTCTCTTTGGGCTGTGCAATGTTATCATATGTCAAACATATTTGACTCATGACAACATATTACCTCTTCCACCTACACCCACCCTATCCCAAATGGTTTAATCACCCCTGCAAAATAATGAAACAGCCCAAGCAAGCATTTGACAGATGATGTCACATACGTTTAAAGTGTACTAAACATTTGTCATTTTTCAATCTTTTCATAATCAGGCTTAAATTTCACAGAAATATTTTGTGTTTTTCACCCAAAGTCAAAATGTTTGCTGGGCAGGCTGACTTGAGTCTGACTCTAACATTGTACGTTTCACTGGCAGCATGGATTTACCCTGAAGTCTGAATGGTGAGGTGCATGTTGAGACTCCCAGAAAACTCTACCTCTCCCAAACTCCCAGAACCCAATGCACGAACACCGCTCCTCACAAATATGTATCTTGGGGGCAAAATCTGTAAGAGCAGAATTAAACCTGCATTAAGTTATTTTTCACCCTAATAGCAACACTGACCTAACATTGGATTATTCTGTTGTCACGGCTAACCTATTAGCGAAATATTTCACTGCTTACACAATCAGTGGATACAGGGCAATATTAGCATCCCATTGGAAGGCAGGTTTCCATCCACCCAAAAGTCATTTTAATATTAATTTGCTTTTTACTGTAGCTCCACCAATTCCTGACACAAATAACTGTGTCTTAAGCTGCTGAATTCTACAGTACAATTTCACCAATCACATGGAAAATGTATATTTTTTTAACAGGTTGACTCTCAGTTTGTTTGCTGGAAACAGCAGCCATGGTTTTACACGGCAAGCTTCATGAGAGCGAAAAGGCCAGAGAATCAAAACATAAAGCTACAAATAGTCATTGATTTAATCATATAAATATAACTTAATGCCGTTTTAATGACACCTTTATTTGAATCTCAATGGGTAAATGCAATTCCTTGCCAGGAACTATTGATAGTCTTTGTCTAAAATTGTCTTCCTCTTTTCTGACTTCCTCTGTCTTATCTAAACCTGGAGCAGCTTTGTTTTGCTTTTAAGGGTTGAATGATAATCTGCAGCTTTGCCTCAAAGAAATATTTGTATGACTAAAACAATCTGCCCTCCCATCCTTATGTCCTGTGTGATATTAGAGATCCACCATGGTCCGAAGCCAGCTGTACTCCTCTCTCCTTCTTCACAGTGCTCATATTAAGTTTGTCACAAAGCGTTTTCACTAAATCACTGTTTGTGTTTGTCTGTGGTGTTTTCAGGCATGGAGAAGACATGATAGTGACTCCATTTGCACAGGTTAGTAGCATTGTACATTAGTGCTTTTGTAAAAATGTGAAAATCTGAAATGCACTCGCCACTTTAATTAAAACAGAATATATAATCTCAACCCAATGGCTTTTTCGAAGATTTATAAAAATGCACGCACAATCATTTTAATATTGAAGAACAATTTTAAAGGCAGTTTCATATCATGTCATGTTAATTGCTGTAGTGGTGGGTTTACTTTGATTTGATTTTAGTATAAATAATAGCTTTTAAAATGTACTTAGTTTCGATTCAAACTAATAATGTCTAATTGTAGGTGTGGGTCTGTCCAGACAATCCACATTGCCCTTACTCATCAGTTTAAGGAATAATAGATGGTTCATTTCTTCTCAGAAAACACCCACACACTCTTTGTTCTGAACACTCTCCAACGTTGGCCCATTAACACAATCTGTGTCCATGTTATGATTCCAGACTAATATGTAAAACGTACTTTTGGCCCACCTGTAGTTGGATATTGGTATTGTACCAAGGGCCATTGTTTTCCATTATAATTGAGAGAAGGCGGACATTTCTAAGGCTGATGTAAGAGTCACATATGTATTTTTGGGATGAACGTTCCCTTTTAAGGCCATCATACTGTACTGTTTGTTCTGTACTCCTGATATTAAGGGGCACATGCCTCGGGTATCTCCAAACAGGACATTTAATACATCTCCAATACTCATTCCTCTCTTTTTTAAAACTCTTTTTAGGTTCTTGCCAGTCTCCGAACAGTGAGAACTAACTTTGCTGTTCTGACACATCTGCAAGATCGTGTCACAAACAAGTAAGAACAAGAAAGACAGACTGAAGGAGTAACTACTCAAAATTGTATTGTTCTGCTAACCCCTTGTACTTGTTTCAGGCGTTCGACAAGCAGCCAGCAGCCGTCCATGTGCAAGCCATGTCTGACAGGTCAGTGTTATCATCCCTGTTTGGTGGGACACTGAGATTTATCACATAATTAGGCTTAGGCATAATTAGCATAATTCATTTCATCTTTGACATCCCTTGTAAAAACACACTTTTATAAACGTTTTTTTTATAATTCTCCTGTATTACCTTCAACTCCCATTTTATATATTATATTCTGTTACAGAATACTTTCATGTTATTGTCTTTTTATGAAAATACTGTAATTTCATCGTGAATGTGAAAGACATGCTGCAGAGTTTGAACCTAATGGGTTTAAATAGTTGATTTACATGTATTGAATATCAGTCCCTCAGCCGACCTGTAACGTGTGTGTGTGTGACCTCTGACCTTTCAGAGGAGCCCTGCCAGAAGCTGGCGGTGGAGACGATGGAGGAGCTGGACTGGTGTCTGGACCAGCTGGAGACGCTGCAGACGAGACACTCTGTCGGCGAGATGGCCTCCAATAAGGTGAGAGGACATTTGTTAGTTTTAATTCAAACAGTTTTTTAATCCATCACAATTAGGTTGTATGCCTCTTACAATATTTTCTTAAAAAATATGAAAACCTTATCATATGGAGCAAATCAAATATGCAAAAGCCCACATTCAAAAAGAGGTGGAGCACTAAGGTCCTACTCTCTTAAAGGTCCCATGTCATGGCCATTTCTACTGATCATAATTCCATTGTTGAGGTCTACTAGAATAGATTTACATTGTTCAATGTTCCAAAATCACATTGGTTTCTCATACAGCATCTCTGTATGTGTATTCACTCTCTGTCCTAAACGGCTTGTTGGAGCTCCTGCCCCCCCCCTCCCCATGAGCCCACTGTGCTCTGATTGGTCAGCTCGCCCACTCTGTTCTGATGAGATCACCGCCGTTACAGCGGAACATCAGTGATTATGTGTTACAATGGCGTTAGCAACCAGAAAATGACACCAGTAATGACAAACAGATGAAAATGCTGCGTGGGGTCTGGGTGCCGTGTTGGCGGGACGTTGCGGGGCTCGCTGCTCCGCCCTTTGAGGCTCGAGGAGCAGACAGTGTGAGCTGGATTACTGGTGTTGTTTCCTGGTTGCTGCGTGGGGTATGCGAGACAGCGAGACACCGCGGAACTCAGCCTGAGCACACACCCACTCTCACAGCCAGGCTGTGAGAGTGGGTGTGTGCGGAGTCGCGGCTGAGAAAAGATAAGACTGAATGAGTGTGTGTGTGTGGTGTGTGTGTTCTCCAACGAGGCGTTCTGGGGCAGCATAGACAGGTCTTTTCTGTGTTAGAGTTTTACTCGCTACAGGGTGTACTTTGAGGGTTTGTGACTCTGCAGACCGTTTACATGCAGAAAAAGCTACATAACACACAAGGGGACGGGTAATAACCAGAAAAGCATGACATGGGACCTTTAAACTATTCACATCATCAGACAACTACATCCATACACTTTATATACATAAACAAATTATATATGGCTGATAAATGCCAAGTAAGCTGGAAACCATTGAGATAAATCTTGTCACTCACACGTCGATGACATACATACTGTAAACTAAAGTATAAAACAATTCATAAAAAATGTAGAGGGTCAAAATCATTGTCTAAGAAATCTACAGAAGATGTTAATGACATAAAACACAATAAGCGATAAAAAAACATGACAAAAGAGATGGAGAGGCTGAATTTAAGATACAATATACCTTACCTCAAGTAAATAGAAAAACGTCCACGGCAGACACAACAATCTTTAATATTTCAACAGGATATTTTGCTGGTAATATATTTTGTCTCTTCTATTTTGAGTGTTTGCTTTTGTCATGACAACAATGACGTTTTTATGTTAGCTTTCAAATAAGAATCACAAGCAGGTCACATGCTTCCAGATCTGGGTCTGTTGCTCCTGTCCATGTGTGCAGAACAGAATTGACAAAGTGCAAGTAGCTTCTTCCTGTTTATTGTTGTAAGAAAAAAACAATGTAGGTAGCATATGAGGGGAGAAAACGGGATGTTATTACACATGCAGCCTCAGTGTGAACATGGCCAGAACACTCTCCCTCTATGAAAGAGTAAATCATCATCTCCCAGCTTCCCTCCCTCATGCTCCTCTCCACCGTCTGGCTGCTACACTCAGTCCTCCTCCATCTCCCAGGAGGCCAATCAGAACCCTCTCCTCCACCCAGCCCCTGATGCCGGACCCATCTGATTGGGCAGCGTGCGGGGCGGGGGAGGGGGGGCTCCTCACAGCCTCTCGCTCTCCCTATGTTTCTCATTGACAGTGTGTGACAGTAGTTGGATGAGCAAATGCAGTCCACACCCTTTCTCCCCCGATGGTAGACCACATTCCCAACCTCCCCCACCTGACCCCGCCCCACCCATCCCCTCCGACCCCCCCATTACCTTCAGGACAGCACATGGGACTGTGGGAACTTTTTCTTCCAGACAGACTTCTTTTTCATTTTCAAACCATCCCTGCTGAGCGTGGAGCAGTCTGAGTGAGCAGCCCGTCACTTTTTTTTGCTTCTCGTTTTGGATTTTTAGCAACCTCTAACATCAGCATGCGTGGGTTAACATGCCGGCATCGGCTCTCTGCGGTTGTCTGTGCTGGAGACTCAGACAGGTGAGCAACGGGGAGCGCTGCTGGCTGCCTTGTTTACATTGGGATCTATTGATCAGCAGTGCAGGCTTTGCAGGGGGTGGGGGGGCTCAATGCTGAGTGAGGGAGCCCGTTGGATCTGACTCAGGACTGGATCTACAAACAGGCTGTGTGTGTGTGTGTGTGTGTGTGTGTGTGTGTGTGTGTGTGTGTGTGTGTGTGTGTGTGTGTGTGTGTGTGTGTGTGTGTGTGTGTGTGTGTGTGTGTGTGTGTGTGTGTGTGTGTGTGTGTGTGTGTGTGTGTGTGTGTGTGTGTGTGTGTGTGTGTGTGTGTGTGTGTGTGTGTGTGTGTGTATGGTTTGCAGAAAACCTAAGGAAAAGAAATTAGCTATCATATCTGATTTGTGAAAAGTTCATGCGACATAATGACCCGCTTCATAGAAAGGAACAACAAACAACACAGGTATATTAGTATATATATATAATATATATTGTGTTGAAATCAAATATGTCTAAAGTTATATAAAAATATTCAGTTTACTGCCACGTTGGTGTAAACATCCAACACATGCAGCTTATCTGTGCACGTATTTTAACTTTTTTTATCTGCAGTCCTACCCGGACTAACCACTTTTCTTGTTGTTTTTTCTTTTAAAAACAGTTTAAGAGGATGCTGAACCGCGAGCTGACGCAGCTGTCAGAGACGAGCCGCTCAGGGAACCAGGTGTCAGAGTTCATCTCCAACACCTTCCTTGGTGAGTTTGCATGCTATACGTTAATGAATGAAAGCACACTTTGTGGCAGCAGGAAAAAGCAGAAAGGTTTCGCTGTTGAATCATGTTGCCTTATACTGGGGTGCATGACAACTTATTCTAAAATATATGAAATACATTTGTCCTATCCCCAACATGTCAGTGTCTTTGGTGCGTTCCAGCTTATCTAACAAGAAGAAACACATTTGCATAATTGCATAAACTCGCTTTGTTGAATGTTCTGCCGCCAGCATTACACAAAACTGCTTCTAAACATACAGTATGTGATGTAAGCATGGCATGCTTTATACGAGGTACTGTGAGAAAAGAACATTGGATGAGAGAGATTCCTTGTTTTTATGGAGAAAAAATAAGAACAATTTAAAAATTGGGAAAGATTTGAGAGCAGAAAAAAGGGCTTTAAAAATTAAAACAGAAAGAGATAAGGATTTTTCCTTAAAACAATGAGATGGAGGAAACAAAAAAAGTTAATAAAAGAGATATGTTAATATTAATGAAATGAGGAGATATTAAATATATAAAAAACAAGGTTTATTAAAATAAGGAAGAGGTTGCTTTCGAGGGGAAAAATAGTGAGTAGAGAAGGAAAGAGGAATTGTATAACCTCTGATTAATAACAATGTAATTAATAATGTGAGAAAGATACAAAAATAAAAATTGGAAATATGAACGTTAATGAATTGTTTTTAAATAGAGGAAGAAGGAGAGGGATTGAAAGGTGAGGATTTTTCCTTCCCTAAAAGAGAAGGAGGCGCGACGACAGACAGCATTCCCGGACACATTGTGTGGCGTTGTCGTAGCAACAGGGTGCAATATTATTAGACGGCGTGTTGCATCAATAGGAGGCTCAGTCTTCAGCAGCCGCGCCGGCAGGATGGAGGTCCAGCTGGAGGAGGACGGAGCTGCCAGTCGGCTGCCGTTCTGACATGAGTGCCTCGGCATCAAGCCCTGCCGCATTTGGAAATGAACACCATGGCTTTGGGTGTGAGGAAGAGGAGGCACTGTGAGAGAGGTGAGAGAGGCCAGACAGCGCCTCGTGTGACGCTGCCACTCAGGTCGCTCTGCATCCTTAAGGTGGCGTGTGCTTATAACTGCGTTCATATCTGGATACCGTTCAAACAATCATTCCTGCCGTGCTAATAAAAAGATGCGAGATACTCAGGATGATGTGTGGACGTGAGGTAAAGGAGGCTGTCTGTGATGTCAAAATGGGATCATTATTACCTCGGTTTGTACAAATACGGATGAGTCATTTTCACTATCGTGTCTGCTGGGACAGCACCTCTGTGTCAACAAGTCATATGGCGATTATGTTGATTCTGTCCGTGGAAACCTTGTTTTCATGATTTTCGTGTTTTTGCTGAAAGGATTACAAGGTTCACTGTTGTTTTGAGAAAAAAAAATCTCCAGACATGATGAAGCCTTTTTAAACCCATGTTTGGAAAAACACAAGAAGCGCTTCGTCATCAGGCTCAGGACAATCCTGAGCTACTGAGAAGCTGACAGCTTTTACTCATCGTAGCTTTCTACTACAGGTGTTCTGCACCTTCTGCCATGTAGTCCGTCCATATTTATTAATCTACACCTTGCTGTGCTCGGACAAAACAGCTTTATACTGCAGGTGTGCTTCATTATACCTCCTGTATAATTCCTGTTTGTTGGTGATGTTTCATCCGTGGTCTATATACAGTTTAAACTGCGTACGTGAGCATTGCTTACATTTAATTGTAATTTTCATTATTTCTTTTTACATTGCAATTTACATTTTACGGACATTTTACACTGAGTCAAAACAAATTGGTTACATAATATCACACACTTTATGTGACCTACTGTATGTACAGTAATGCACATTAGCTGTGGGTCTAACTACATGAAATTGTATTGTGCTAGGTGTTGTTGTTGTTGTACAGTGTTAGCAGTTTTAGTGACAGCAGTAGTAACAGCAGCGGCATAGTAACTGTATTAGTTTGAAGAGGTAGAAGTTGCATAAAACTACTCTAAACTGTTTGGATAGTTATTGTAATTCAGGCTGATGTTAGCAGCAGCAGTATTATTAAATTATCTGTCGTAGCAGGTGCATTTCTATAATAAATATTAGCTGGTGCAGTCACTAGTCATACTAGTCTCAATGTGAGCTTTAGCAGTTGTAGCACCAGCAGTAGAAACTAGCATGATTAAAGAAATGCTCATTGAATAATTGTTGTTTTTATTATCAGTAGTTTTGATAATATTACAAATATCGGTTATCGGTGCGTTGATGTTGGTAGTGGAATAATAGTATAAACAAAGGTTGCAGCAATAGTTAGCAGATGCACTAATAATACCATTAGTAATTGTACTGGTGATAGAAGAATCAAGGTGTGTTTACACTAAAAAGTCAGAGAGAACTCACTCTGTTTTTTCAAAACTTGCGAACAATAATCCTTATCAGCCAATGGGAATGGATACAAGCATGAATTAGTAAACCAAAAACATGAATCAAGTAATTAATACTTTCAGAACTTACCATGTAGTTGTATGGCTTGGCTCACTTTTCATCAAGCCCTTTCCTCTTTTGTTCAGTCTCTGTACAGTACTGACGTTGAGTCGTAGAGCTGCAGGTGCCTACAGACGACGACAATAACATCGTCCTCTTATTGATTGACAGCCTAGGAGCATATAAGCAAGAGTGCGATCATATTTCCTCAATATGTGTGCATGAATACTTGCTCTTCTCACACACAACGTTATATTTTGTTCAATTTAAGAAGAGGTCATATATTAAAAAACACCAACAGAGATATAAGATCTCTTAACTTGCTGCAATTATTTCACAGTGAATACACGCTTTAATCAGACTCTATCCTACTGACATTGTGACAGTGGAGCTAAAGTAGAGCAAATCAAGTAAAGTCTGATATTTAAATGACTTCAAGACGGACATATATATTCAATGTCTGTTTGTGCATGTTGCAGAGAAACAACATGACGTGGAGATCCATTCTCCACCCTCTAAGGAGAAGGAGAAGAAGAAGAAGAAGAAGAGGCCGATGTCACAGATCATTGGTGTGAAAAAGGCCACACAGAGCCCCAGCGTAGCCCCCACCTGCATCCCTCGCTTTGGAATCAGCACACCACACGAGAGCCTGCTGGCAAAGGTGGGCCCACACACACACAGACACACACTGAGAAACACACACACACACACACACTGAGAAACACACACATTACACACACTGAGAAACACACACACAGACACACACTGAGAAACACACACACAGACACACACTGAGAAACACACACATTACACACACTGAGAAACACACACATTACACACACTGAGAAACACACACACAGACACACACTGAGAAACACACACACAGACACACACTGAGAAACACACACACAGACACACACTAAGAAACACACAGACAGAAACGCCCTGTGTCTCATAGATGTCCTGTTTTCCTTCTCCAGGAGGTCGAGGACATTAATATTTGGGGTCTGGATGTTTTCAAGATAGCAGAATTCTCCGGAAACCGCCCTCTGACGGTGATCATGTACTCCATCTTCCAGGTAGGATCTCTCACAGCCTAAAGTCTGTTGAAACATGATGAGAATGTAATACATTATAAAAGTTCAAGGTTATACATTTGCTCCTAATCCCATGATTTACAGAATGTGGTGCCCCTACTGTGTTTCTGGTACAATGTTTGTTGTCTATAAAGTTAACTTTATTTATAATTTAGTATATAGCTTCTGTGGTAAGCTGTCACCTTGCGCTTTTTTTTGTATTATTAACAAAAAAAAGTTGTTAATCCCTGTAGGGTAAATTTGTATTCTTATTTATTCTTTCTTAGGGGAAGTCATTTTTATTTATTCTTTCTTTTTTTATTTCCATTATTTTTTACTTTAATGTTAACTTTTAATTGAGCGTATGTTATGTGGTCAGCTGTCAGCATGTGTGGGTTTATGCAAAAGTGATATGACACAGAAGAGAAAATATGGAAAAATAAAATCCCTGCACAGTAACTGTTGTATTTATTATTGACAATAACTGAAAATACCCTTGAAAGAAAGTTAAGATTATATATTTTTTGACATGATTTAGGATGTTGGTGTAATTGCAGTGAGGAAGTAACTGTCACTATGAAGTTGTATTTTACTCCCACTGTGACACACCAAGTCTAATTAAGGAAGGGTCTGCTGGTTGCAGAAAAAACTAAATGTAACTTTCCGTTAATGGAATTTACACCACAGAAGAGAAAAGTTATCCTTAATGTGACTTCTCTCCTCTTCCTCTTCATCAGGAGCGAGACCTTCTGAAAACCTTTAAGATCCCAATGGACACCTTCATCACCTTAATGATGACCTTGGAGGACCACTACCATGCAGACGTAGCTTATCACAACAACCTTCATGCAGCGGACGTGGTGCAGTCCACCCACGTGCTCCTGTCTACCCCCGCTCTGGAGGTGAGCTGAGGAAGATGGTGATGTTTTACTTCATGATCATTGTCACAATACGAGATGGTTAATGTAGAATGTTTTCCGTTCTTCGTCTACTCCAGGCAGTGTTCACAGACCTGGAGATCATGGCTGTGCTGTTTGCTAGTGCCATCCATGATGTCGACCACCCAGGAGTTACCAACCAGTTCCTCATCAACACAAGTAGGTTCTCCTCTGTCTCTGTACACAACGATCAACAGGTTTTATACACCTGAGGGATTTCAGATTATCTCAAGAAAAGTTTACAATGTTTTAATAAGAGAACACACAGATGATCTCAACCGGCATTTTAATATGTTGATTTAATATGTGACAACATTTTAAAGACGTTAAATGTTTTAAATACAATTATATACATGAATACACATTTATAAATCACTTTTCATATTCAAAACACTTAATTTGTTGCCTGGGTGTTAATTTGCAAAGGCACATAGAGTACTACAGTAACATAATGAAGGAACAATTAAAAAACTACATTAAGAAACATGGATAATAAAACACATCAGGCATTCAGGAAATGTTCAGACACTTTTAAATCATTTGGAATAGTCCAATTTGTCATTTTCCTCAGTTGTCAAGTGATATTCTTACAGATTGAACTTTTACTTGAGTATAATTTGTTTCGACTATTATTCTAACTCAGAACGCTAAACTATACAAATCATATTAAGGTGTCCCATTATACAGTTTTGACCGTTTCCACCCACATCTCTGCAGGTTCAGAGCTGGCGCTGATGTACAACGATGCCTCGGTGCTGGAGAACCACCACCTCGCTGTCGGCTTCAAACTGCTGCAAGAAGACAACTGTGACATCTTCCAAAACCTTAGCAAGAAACAGAGAGAATCCCTCCGAAAGATGGTGATCGACATGGTGAGACTGCTGCACTTATTTCATGGTGATATCCTTTTCATGTGTGCTCGAACACAACTGTAGCTTTAGATTTAGAGCCGCTGATGGGAAAATGTTAAATAATGCTGTTTTCAGCCACATTTTGAGGTTTATAATTGTTTCTGTTTTATGTATAGCCACAGTAAAAATATACTGAATAATATCACACTAATAAATTACTTGACTGTTAAGGTTTCACTTTTTTTTTTATTGAAAATGAATACCTGGGGACAGAGATCCTGTGATCCAGGCCCAGGGGCAGAGATCCTGTGATCCAGGCCCAGGGGCAGAGATCCTGTGATCCAGGCCCAGGGGCAGAGATCCTGTGATCCAGGCCCAGGGGCAGAGATCCTGTGATCCAGGCCCAGGGGCAGAGATCCTGTGATCCAGGCCCAGGGGCAGAGATCCTGTGATCCAGGCCCAGGGGCCAGGGGTATAACTCAGTTACTGCTGCAGTGAAGCTAACAGACAATACAATCTCTGTTGTTTTTTAAAATCAAATGTATTAACACTTTGCAAAGGTGAATATATTTTAAGAGAAGCAGAAGAACATTAACCCCTATCTGTCAGTAAACTCACATACTTTTACAAAAAGACTAATTTCATACAGTATATACACAGCATGTACAGGTCACATGGGAAGCGTGCGTCATTCAGTCGATAATGTGTTGAATCTCTTTATTAGGTGCTCGCCACAGACATGTCCAAACACATGAACTTATTGGCGGACATGAAGACGATGGTGGAGACCAAGAAGGTCACCAGTCTGGGCGTCCTGCTGCTAGACAACTACTCTGACCGCATCCAGGTGAGTACGCCCCTTTCTGAAAATCAGAACACAGAAAAATGTGTGAACTCATTCAGTAAGTACACACTTCTTAAATAACATCATGCAGACAAAACAAATATTTATTCCGTCACCATAGTCAGAAATTCGCAAAAGTACTCTGGGAGAGCAGTACATAATAACCAGTAGATCCCAGACATGGCAGCAGCATGTTTCACATGATGTTTCCACACTGACCTTCACACACAACAAACTGAACAGCTGTTGGTACAGTGTGTGTAGCAGAGGGTTAGTGTGAAGGTGCTGCTGCCTGCTGGACACAGGGGTCATTGCATCTGTACTGAGCTGGACCAATCTACACTGTGTAATGTTGAGGTGTGTTGGATCAGGGCAGTGGGGTATTCTCAGAAGAATCAAGTCACAAAATCCCAAGTTTACGAGAGTAAAATGTTCTCCAAATTTCTTATAGTAAAAATGAGCATGTGAAAAAACCATTTTGAGATTAAACTCAGAACATTCTGAGAAATCTGAAAAAATGTGTTTATTATCAAAGAACCTTATCACTTCACTAATCAAGGTTTGATCACAGCACCATCTCAAAAACTAAAGAGTTTATAATCTATTTTCTTTCCTTGTAAATTCTCATTTAAAACGTGAAGTTCAGAACGTTTTTTGATGGAAAATAACCCCTGACAACTACAATGGCTCTAATACGACTTTGTAGGACAGGGTTAAGATGTCTTTAGATAAAGTCAAAGAAATGCTCGTTATATTTCTGAAGTTATCACCCCTGTTTGTCCTGAGTCATTGTGGTGGAGGTTTGGAAAACAGAGTCTGACTGAGCCTCTCTCCTCCAGGTTCTGCAGAACATGGTCCACTGTGCCGACCTGAGCAACCCAACCAAACCGCTGGAGATCTACCGCCAGTGGACGGACCGCATCATGGAGGAGTTCTTCACCCAGGGAGACCGAGAGCGGGACAAAGGCATGGAGATCAGCCCCATGTGCGACAAACACAACGCCTCCGTAGAGAAGACCCAGGTAACGACGGAAATGTTTAAAACTTCAAGGAGTTAAAAATAAAAATTAGTGTTCATCTTTTTTTTGAATGAAGTCCTTTCAATCTTTTACATTTTGAACACATCATCGTTACCTGTGTTTATTGAATTTAAGTTATTCTTCTTTTTATTTTAAGTGTTCAAATGTAATAAGGATGCAGTTAGACATATTTTGAACTGTCCTATTTAATATATCAGGCATTTAAATACAGAACTCCATTGTTAATGTTTTACATATTAGTCAGGATATTGTTTCTCGGTATATCTTTGAATTACATTACCAAAAAAAAGATATTTGTTAATCATATGACGTTAATATAGGCGTTTGTCTCAACAAAACAGTTCGTGTTGAAATCACATCCTCTGTGTTTTTGACTGCCGGCAAGTTCAGCAGAAAACATGACAGGAGCAAATATCAAAGTTTTATCGCTTTTATTGTGCGGTGTGATGACAGTCACAATTATAAAAAATAAGAATGATAAAAGTCAGCAATGCGAATATTAATATAAATGGTAAGACATTCATAGTCATCCAAAATGTCCTTGAGGAACTGAAATCATCATTTTAGCATCCCTTTTCTTTAGTAAGCAGAATTTGAAACCGGCTTGCCTTTTTATTTAGTTTTACTCGTTGCACTCCTGTCATATTTGTGTGTTTATTATTTCTACTAATGATATATCATTTCTATGACCAGGTGGGCTTCATTGACTACGTTGTCCACCCTCTGTGGGAGACATGGGCGGACCTGGTGCACCCTGACGCTCAGGACATCCTGGACACCCTGGAGGACAACAGGGAGTGGTACCAGAGCATGATCCCCCGCAGCCCCTCGCCCACCAGCCCCGAGGAGCACCGCGTGGAGGCGCTGCCAGGAGCTGTGGAAGCGGGGGGGGCTGTCTCCTCAGGAGGGGACAAGTTCCAGTTTGAACTCACTCTGGAGGAGGAAGAGGAGGACGAGGAGGAGGTGGAGTCTGACCTGGAGAGCCCCCTGGAGGAGGAGTCAGGTGGGGAGCGGCAGCGGGACTCCTCCTCCCCCTCTCTGTCCCCAGACCCCCGCAGCAGGTACCGTCCCCCCTCGCCTCACCCGTCCCGGACCCTGGCTACCATGTCGGTGCGGAGCCCCCACATGACGCTGGCCTCCCCGGGACGGGAGGGGGCCGACAGGGACCGAGAACTGAGCCAGGAGGGGGAGGGGGTGGCGTGCCTTCGTATGGGGACGTAACAACCAGCACCACCTGCCCCCCCCCCCCCCCCGAGAGACAGGAGACGGGATGAGGAGAGGCAGGGGCGGGGCAGGCCTCTACCGCTAAAGTCTGTCAAATCACTACAGTCCCTTTACACTGGAGACACCCGCACAGAGGGACGTTCCCTCTCCTGTTTTATTTTATATTTCGACAAGATGAATCGTCTCAGCCTCTCTTTGGGTGCCTGATTGTGTCCGTCCTGCTTTGTTGTAGCTTCAGGTCGGAGTGTCCCAGACAAAGACTGCTGCATTTGAACCAGGAAGAAGAGTGAGTGGAGCCGAGGCGGGACACTCTAACATGAACAAAAGGTAAAAGGAAATGTCTTCCTCTAAAATAACTGATTGTGACATTCAGACACGAGAATGAGGACGCCGTGGTTTGACAGGGTCTTGGAAATATATTTTGCACCATAGTTTCGAATTTTAGGATATGGAATTACTGTTGGAATAAGTGAGTATGATTTCTTTGTTTGAGAATGATGTGAGAAATGAATTATTTTACCAAATACAGGATGTAGATGAGAGTAAGTCGAAGGACCTAAACCTCAGGGTATGAAGGGAAATCTAATGTAGCATGGATGTAGTGGGTTCCCCTCACCCTCGAACACATCTGTCTTTCCTGTTTGATTTACCTCCAAACTAGAGACACACCTGAGACTTTGTTTAACGGTGCGTCTCTGCATTGAATTAAAACCCTTTAATAGAGAATTTGGCAAATGAAGCAATCACATAGTATATATTTAAACCTGATTGTAGCAGCACAGAGATTGAACACTGAAGAAGACTGAACCCCAGTCTCGCCTGTTGAAGATGTAAAAGACACCACCTGTATAATTAGTTTGGGCTTTATTTTTTTACCTGAGGAGATTTTAAATGGTGTCATAGTTTTAGGGTTTCAAACTGTTCCTTGTTGTACATTTGTGCTGGTCTCGTCTGTGTTTATGTGCTTAAAAAGCATTTTTTATCAGGGTGCCTCCGGTCCACAGTAGCACTTTACTGTATCTGCCCTTCAGCTCTTCTCTTCAGTCATTCAAAGGGCTTCGTCCACTGCAGGCCGACTGAGGATCACACAGCACGTCTCTCCACAAGGCAGGGCAGGAACATCAGCGATTATCAACAATTTCACAAAATGACTGGACCAACGGCAAAATTCACAACCTTTTGGTGGTCTGAAAGTATAAGTATAAGAAGTAGGTAGTCTACTTTTTGCCTCAGTTTCTTAAGGAACTGAAAAAAGACAAATATAACAGGTGCAACTAAATGATATTCACACGGTTTGCACTTTTAAAGGCAAATGTATTACTGCAATGTTCTCTAAGTTTATCCTAGGTTCAAGATTTAAATCCAAAGCTGCCTTTTTGAAACAACAAAATATTGTCTCTGATGTAAGATTAGAAAGTGTTCCCACTTATGATCTGCTTAACTACAAATTATTATGATGTAGACAAAACATGTGAGAATAACCTTTCATTCATATTTGCCTGACAGCAGCCCAGAAACAGATGACGATGATTATTCTCACACTTTGAAGGATATTGTGTTATTTAAACAGTTTCCTTGTTGTGAGCAGATCCTATGAAAAGACTAAATGTTAGTTTCTCAATACTTTCCTCCTGCGGCTCTCAGCCCAGAGAGCATTTTTTTTAAATGTGTCATAAATATAAAATGTTTGTATTTAATTCTAATTTTTTTTAGCAAACATGACTATTGGACTTCTTTCATCTGATTAAACATGTATTAATATATATCAATATTATTATACAATTATTAATAATGATCTATTTATTTCCAACAGCAGGACAGTGGATCTAGGATTGATCTCAAATAAGCTAGTGCACATCTTCATAATGAAGCAATATGTCTCTCAGTGTAGCTCACTGATGTCTTTTAAATATTTCCTGCACAACAATAGAGGTCTATCGACAGCTGTTGCTTTTTTTATCTTTTCATGGGGGTTGTTGACAGTAACACAAATATGAAATATCATAAAATGAATCCAGTGATTGGGACATTTTGTTATTTCTACACCTCGAAATTAATATCATGCTGAAGATTGTTTATTTTCTGGAACCACACAAACAGATTAAGATTGTTTATTTGGATGCAATCTTTCCAGATAAGTCACCATACTGTTCCTTTCCTGCCCTGCGGACAAACTCTGATGAAGAGATCAGAAGTTGCTCACAGAAATTAATCAAACTAAACCGATTCTCATTTGATAGAAAGTGCCCGAATGGGATATGACTGTGTGCCATAAGTGTTGAAAACACACGATCACCTGCCAGCCTACGATGCTGTACATTTTTACACTAGAGATTTTAACCTGATGATTGTATCAAAGTCAATGACTTTATAGAGTTAGTTTTTACCAATGATACGTGTTACCAGTATTTAAAGCCGACCGTCTGTTAGATTTTGTGCAGCTCATGATCAGTCTGTGCAGCCCTGTCCTAACCAGATAGCTGCAACTTGAACATGTGTGTAGTTTCAGGAGTCGCTGAGGTAGAAAGACCAGGAAGCAGCACGCACTACACAGAGATATGATGCACTTCCTGGTCAGGCACTCGTAGAAAACAGTATTTCATTAAGTCAGCTAGTAAGCTTTACTGATCAGCCTTACATGTGATGTAGTGGTGGGAGCCTAAAGGACCATTATGCTGTTTTAACATGCCGAGCCAAAGCATCGTTTGATCTACAGATCTGAAAAAATCTAATAAAACTGCTCCATCCCGGGCTTTCGAAAATAATAAAATCTCAACAAATCGGAAGAAGTTATGAGGGTTGTCCCAGATAGTTTTATATTTAATTGACATCAACATTCATATTCTAAATCCAAATTAAAATGCTGCACATTCTTTAATCTGTATTCTGCTTAAAGCAGTTGCCCTTGGAAAGCTACTGTATAAAGATTAGGCTACAAGAATGTCATACGTAATTTTCATTTTTTTTTTTTTTAATTAGATCCAGTGGTGGCAGCGTAGCGTTGATTGAAACATTTACAATAACTCCAGAGTGTAAAGTCTAAAATAAAATGTATTTAAAAAAAGATGTTCTAAATAAATGTAGGCCTGATTATTAAAAGTAGCTCTGGTTCATTAAGCTCCCTCTCCCAGCTGTGGTTCATTAAGCTCCCTCTCCCAGCTGTGGCTCTTAGAACCAAGTGTCTTTAAACAGTGTGTGTGTGTGCAGTAAAGCCTTTCAACTCACACTGCTATTAAGTGATAGTTCCTGCTTCACATCGGTTTCAAAGCACAGTCTCAAGTTAGTTACATTTTTACTGAAATAAAAACAGGAGCTAAGACCAACAGAAATGTAGTCTTTAGTATTTTGTATAATGTTATGAAAAATATAAAAGAAAATTCCTTTAATGTAGTGCTTTCCTCTCTGTGACAGTAAAGAAACTGTCCGCTAGCTCTCCTGAAGCAAAGGAAGAGATACGTTTTGAAATATGCAATAAACTTAAACCCTGAGTAGTTAGCACAGTGACAGATCAGTTTAAGATGTTGTTCAAAGTTCCTCTATCTTCATGCAGAAAAGGCAAGTAAGTAAAGCTTTCTTTTTATAGTAGTTTTTAAACAGCTTCACACACATCCCAAAAAGAATCAATAAAGTAAAAACACTGTAATTTATGATGTAAAACAGAACGAAGACACAGCCCAAAAAATAGAAAGATGCCAAACGTACAAGTTCGGCATGGCATTTCTAACATGTAGGATTGCTGATTTTAAATATTCAACAGTAGATTTCAGATCTCAGTGATTGTTGGCGTTAGCTCGGCATGTTAGCTCGGCATGTTAGCTCGGCATGTTAGCACAGCAGTGGCTCTTTACAGGAAGACATCAGTGCCATTCAGTGTTAAATGTCTCTGTTGTTGTGTCGCGCTGATACTGCCAACATTAATGTTCATGCTGTCTGTTTTCTCAGCCTCTGTGTCGTGCAAACCTCTATAAAAAAAAGATATGTATTCTTCAAAAGTGTCTGTCGAGACAAAGTACTGTATCATAGGACATTTGATTTTATGTTCTGGAGCCTAAAGATCAAGTATACATTAAAACGTATACACCTGCCACTCCAATGTTTTCTTTTGTCAAAGAAAATAACTATTTTTGTTTCTCCTTCTAAGCCAAAAGACTCTCGGGAGTTCAGGGTGTTTTAAATGAAAATGCCAATAAATAATATGAAAATCCATCAATGCGTTTTAATCATTTTTTTGTTTATTATATGACTCAAAACGTTTTTTTCAAGTGGAAGAACTCTAAATTAAAGAACTATGGTACATGTCACACGCATTTATTCCACTTGCAAAATAAAACCACACTGCATGATCTCGCATCCACAGTTATCAACTATATTAAACATGATTTTGATGTCGTTTGGTACGTTATGCATGTTATTATTTGCCGTTGTGATCAGCAGAAGCTTCTGTTCAGTCTGACCGGAGCTCCGTTGCAGGCTGGAGGCTTCACACCCTGAAGACACAACACACAGGTTAATAACTGACAAATATTCAAACAAACAAAACCTGCATTTTAGTTCTGATACACATCGTCAGATTGAGCAGAACGACTCTCTCCCTCTTTGGCATCCTTTTATAAGCACTGATAGTAACCAAATGACCAAAGTAGAGTCACAGTAACAAGAAAACTATATAAATAATATAGTCCTTACTTTGTAGAGTTGGCAAACCAAGATAAAGAGGGACGACATTGCCTTGTCCTCGTTATCGTCTGTGTATTCCTGGAACACAAACCGTTTATGATCTTTAAATCAATTTAAAGCAGCTATACAGTACAGACACACATCCAGCAGTAGACTACAGTATCATGATTCTGAGTATTTTATAAGATAATTATTTGACCTTCAAATATAATGGAGAACATCCAAATTAGATTATAGCTGGGTCCAGAGAAATAATGGTACCATTTTAACCTCACAGCTTTTGAATATGTGCTGCAGAATTATTAACAACACATTCAGTAGAATGAATGTTCATTTATAAAATGTTCCTTTGGAATGAGTAAACTGTATTCAACCAGGGGGAAAACATGGGTTTTGTGACAGTTTCTCAATTTGAGAACAAACAGAGAACTTTAAGTAAAGTGTGCACATTCACTTATAACCACAAAAAGATGTATGGGGTTGAACATTGCAAAACAGTCCTTGCTAAACTAAACCTTTGAAATAGTTTGAGACAGAATCATCATCTCCTCTGCAGATCAGTCTTTATATTCGAGTAGTGACTAAAATATTCTGCCGAAATAATTAAAGTCTTATTCTACCTTTTCGGTCAAGAAAAGTGGAACTAAGAACTGTATTACTTTGTGGTAACACTTTGTATCCATCATTATTAGCCGTGTGCGTTTTACCCCATAGAAGGTGACCCAGGGGACGTGTGTGTGAGCGGGGCTCAGCGCTCTGGTCATGACAGCGTTGGCGTGCATCAGCTGGTTTCCCAGATCGCCCGTCACACAGGAGGAGACCCTCGCCCAGGAGACGGAGGGGGCGTACAGCTGGAGACACTGACACACACATTGAGAAACACATATATCCATAGATAAAAGCAGGCGTCTTAAAAAGGTTTAGATATGTTTTGAAACCACCGCCCATGCAGTTTTTGACACAGTAAAGTTAGCATGTGCAGACTAATTTACTTTTGTTGATGTTTTCTAAAAGGAACATTTCACTTAGCTTCTTACTATGGCTCCTGAAAAATCACACGTAAAAAAAAAAAGTAAAACAAATCACACAAAGATCGTTTTTCTTAAAAAAAATAAAAAAGTGACTGGTCTTCACTCATTAGTAAGCAAATTAGAGAAATATTATACTCTTGTAATAAAGTTTTTAGGTGGTAAAATTCTGAGGTATGCAAGCTTCACGAAGCAAAAATCTAGTGACTCCGATATTTATGTACAGAGAATCTGACCAGAGTCACTATTTACCAAAAAGTCTGTACTGCCTGAAATCCCTGAAGAGAATTGACTGGAACGCAGAGGAGCTGCATAGAAACATAGCTTTAAGGTTTTAAGAGCGGATTCAGCTTCTGTGTGACTTACAAAAGACATGTATGCATTCACAATGTCACCCGAGTGCTAGAAATGTACATTTATTTATTTTCCAAGCTACTTTATGATTCAACAATACACCATTGAACAAAATGATAGCACATTGGTTTAGTTTTACAGAGAGCTGGACATTCCTCCATGTTTTTACTGACAATTTCAGGGTCCAGAGTTTTATGAATGATAAAACCCTGCTTGTTCATCTGACAGCACCTTATGCCAACAAAAGACAAAGCTCGAGTTTATTCTGTAGATACTCACAGGCTGGGCAGCATTCAGGACATTTGCAGCAGACTCCATGCAGTAGATGATCTGAAAGGCTGAGTGTCCGGTTAAATGGATGATACAGGCCTGAGGAACACATCAATCAACCTCAGGTCAGCATGTTGCACCGTTAAAAAGTGACAGTGTGCGTAATGAAACATTCAAACCTCAATCATGTTCCCTCTGCATTCAGGCTCTCCATGCTGACAGGTGAAGGGAGAATTCACTGATGGAAGTTCCTAAAAGAAAAGTTTGAACTATTAGTCTGCATATGATTGCAGGCACGTGCACACAGACATCAAAGTGGGCTTGAGCCCCTGCCCTTTTTCTTCCTCCAGAGAAAGTGCCCTTTTTTTTTAAATAAATTAATATATATCTACTGCTGTTTGCGCACAGTTTCCCTTTCCAAAAATATATTGATTGAATACAAAATTAAGATATCAGGTCGGGAGATTAGACTGAAGTTCCGATGATCTCTCTCTACCCTCCCTCCCTCCCTCCCTCCACGTCTCGCGCACAGCGATGCGGACATCGGCAGTCACTTCAGACAGACAGGTAGCAGCACCTCCCACCTTTCAAGTCCCATGTTATGCCGGCTTTTCTTGGCTTATTTTGAAGGTGAGTGGTGATGAACAAATTACTAAACTGCCAGTGCCTCGAGTTTACAGCTAATTAGCCAAAAGACAAAAACAAATAGTTAACTAAGGTAAGCTACTATCTAATGGATAAGTTAGCTAAACCTTGAGCTAAGGCAATTTATCATGGGCATACAGGCTAATGTAGCCTGCTGTACTTAAGGGGAGACAGACACTAAAGGTGAATACAGTAAAATGAGTATCTAATAGCATCATCACAATCGCCACATTGATATGCAAATTAGGCGTTAACTAGTACACTAGTAATAAAGTACTATCTTATCTCTTATCTTAATTAAAATGCTCTAATTTGCATGCAGTGACCAAGGCATTGCAGGTGAAAAGGTTCAAACTAAAAACAAACATATCAGCGATATCACCTCACAACTTCCCCAGATAGTTACTTACGTCAAGTCAGTATTTTCCCCTGAAATGTTATGTTTAAATATGCAGATTAGCTTTAAATCTATCGATGAATTCAGACATGGTAGTAAAACAAACACCATTTATATATGTTTTTTGGAAGTTGTCTTTCCATTAGAGTGAAAGAAAACATGGAAGCAAAATAGACCAAAATAACTAAATGTACAAGTAGTGAAAAAACGATCTTTTAGCCTGTAATGTCCTGCCTTAAACAGTAACTTCATCATTTTGATTGTTGGCTGCTCATTTAATAACTATTCATTGTACTAGTTTGTTGTCTGCTCTTGTGCTTAGTGAATACTAAAGAAGACCATTGTCTCTGTGTTAACTGACTATTTTGTAGATTTCTGTTGAGTATTAAACAATTGCGTGAGTGTGAGGGTATTAAAATAAATTGGTCAGTAAGTCAGAGATGTGCAACGAGTCTATATTTAACTTTTTGTTTTAAAACATTTTTTTACAAATGATTATGGGAAGTGCCCTTTTTCTCACTAGTGCTCCCGCCCCCCAAAATGTCTGTGCACGTCCCTGTATGATTGTATTTATACAGTAGCTACAGTATTTACAGAGGACGAGGTCACGAGGATCAGGGTACCTTGGCGTTACCGTAGGGGACCAGAGTGACGGTCATGATGTCCTGCAGCATCAGCCAGGTGGGGAAGAGCTGCTGGGAGATGAAGCCTCTGCAGCCTGGACACAAGCTCTCATAGTACAGAGTGACGGACACAGGGGGAACAGCCTGGCTCGGTCTGGTAGCATTTAACTCCATACACTGCTTCTGAACCTGGAAACAGAAATAGATGGATTAAATGTATCAAATGTATAAAAGACATACAGCTTGTGATGATCTAGGCCAGGGGTCACCAACCTTTTTTAGGGTGAGGGCTATACTTTCAAAAAATAAAACAAGTCAGGGGCTACTTTTACTCCTCTTTTTTTTTTTTTTTTTGCAGTGTATATATATATATATATATTTAGCACATTTTAACATTATGATATGCTTACCTTTAACCTCTGTGTGCTGTTAGGGGCTGTGGGACCCGTTTTCAGTGTTTACTCAAATAACATGTATGCAATTTAATTATTTTAACCTGCTTTATTTGGGGGTGGACAGGCCTCACCTCCTCTAGGGGGGTCCTCACCTCCTCTAGGGGCATGCACCACCGGGAAGATTGTTTTTTAATGTTAAAGTGAAATGCATCAATCTGGAGCACTTTGAGCACAACATGAATTGATGGATACAGCTCTCAACACTCGGATGAAAGGGAGCTGTATACTTTTCAATAATCCAAACATCTTTAGAATATGATCACAACTAATAACAAATCATTTAAACTGGTTTATTCTTATCTTACCTAGTTAGCATTCTTTCCTTTTATTTATGCTTATTTTACTAATCACTCCCCTTTCAAACTGTTTTTTGTTTTTTTTACTGTCCTTTCTTACTTCATCTATATTAAATAGATAAAGGTGTGCTCTCCCTAGCTCTCTCCCTCCCTCCCTAGCTCTCTCGATCGCTCTCTCTCTCTCCTTATTTTGTATTCAATCAATATATTATTATATCAATATATGTCCAGAACGCAGCCGCCAGACTCCTCACCCACACCAAATCATGGCATCATATCACCCCGGTCCTCAAAGAACTTCACTGGCTCCCCGTTTCACACCGCATCCAACACAAACTCCTGGTACTCACCTACAAAGCCCTCCACCACCTGGCCCCCCCCCTACCTCACTGACCTCCTCATCCTCTACCAACCACCCCGGTCCCTCAGATCCACCTCAGCCGGTTTGCTTTCCATCCCCA